CGGAGAAGCAGCGGCGGAGAAGCAGCGGCGGAGAAGCAGCGGCGGAGAAGCAGCGGCGGAGAAGCAGACCCTTAGTAGCGGAAGACAAGGGGCGGTGTCGGATGTGCGGAAAGGGGAAGCAGAAGGGCGGGAAAGAGAGGAAACCCTCTTGTTGCGGTGTTGGGCAATGCGTCCCAGGTCGACGTCTGCATTATTACCGATAGACACCTTCTTTTGGACACCTAGGCTAATCGACAAAAAAAAGCCGTCATCGATTATATTTTTTTCAAATGAGGTTCGTAACTAAATTTTAATATCTTTTGATGTTTTTAAGTAAAAAATAGTCTCACGTGTTGAGGTTAAATGTTTGTATATTTCACATATTAACAAGTCTACGTGCCTTTTAATATTTTGATTCCTCGTATCACTGCATCCAGTCTGCCACGTCCACACTCTCAATAACAGGAGTTAACGGTGCTCTGTCAGTGGCTGTAAATTCGGTACGTGCAGGGCATCGACGTTCCCAGTGGACTGCCCAATGAGTTCCCCGAAAAAAGGAATATCTGGTTCACTATTATCAATATTTCCATTTCTCAAAAAAACTTTTACTTACCTGTAATTTTCGCTCCTGACTCTAGTGGCTTCTTGGCGACGAGAGGAAAGCGACGCAATGACGGCCAGGAGGAGAGGCGATGGTTAGGCGATGCGTGACGACGATGGCGAGTCGACGCGAGTCGAGGCGAAACGAGGCGAAGAGGGCGAGTCGAGGCGAGGCGAGGCGAAGAGGGCGAGTCGAGGCGAAGCGATCAGGGCAAATCGAGGCCAGGCGAAGAGGGCGAGTCGAGGCAAAGAAGGCGAGGCGAGACGAAGAGGACGAGGCGAGGCGAAATGGGCGAGGCAAGTCGATGCGAAGGAGACGAAGCAAAGAGGGCGAGGTAAGTCGAGGCGAAGGGGGCGAGGCGAGGCGAAGAGGGCGAGGCGAGGCGAAAAGGGCGAGGCAAGTCGAGGCGAAGAGGGCGAGGCGAGGCGAAGAAGGCGAGGCACGGTGGCAAGGCGAGGCGAGGCGAAGAAGGCGAGGCGACGGTGGCAAGGCGGGGCGAGGCGACGGTGGCAAGGCGGGGCGAGGCGACGGTGGAAAGGCGATGATCGCGGGGCTGCAATGGCGATACGTCTCATCCACCCCTTTCGTCCACACTACCTCCTAGCAACCGCCTCTTCCTACTTGCTTCGTCTGCACCACTTTGTCCACAACGCTTCGCCGATTTGACTCTTCAACATCGTTTAATCCACACGCATCGTCCAACCTTCTCGTCCGGATCGAGAAGATTAGGCGCGATGCTGTGGCTAAACGAATAACGAGGGTCTCAGTCGGAAAGGCGATCAAGACAAGCGGTGAAGCAGAGGTCTGCGGCGAAGAAGCGTGGCGTAGTAGGCAGGTGGCAGAAGGGGCGGGCGAGGCGTGGAAGGTTAGGCCTGTGGCAGATCGGCGGCGGCAGAGGCGTGGCAGGTTAGGCCTGTGGCAGATCGGCGGCGGAAGAGACTCTGTAGCAGATATGCGAGGTACAATAACAGAGATCGCTTATCAGAGATGATGGCGATGAAAATTAAGCGGAATGGCGGAGAAGCAGTGGCGGAGAAGC